GGTCGCTGCGTCGGATCTCAGGGAAGGCAGAGGTCGGGTCTTGCTAGAAGTACCCTTGGCCCAAGGTGCCCCCCCAGGATTTCCAGGGGCGCCTCCACGGCTTCAGCAGCACCCCTCACAAGGCCCAGAGGGAGGGATGGATGGATGGATGGAGGGAGGGAGAGAGGGAGGGAGGTAGGGAGGAAGGGAGGCAGGAGGAGGAAAGAAAGGAGGAGGAGAAAGAGGAGGAGAAAGAGGAGGAGAGCAGGAGGAGGAGGAGGAGGAGGAGGAGGAGGAGGAGGAGGGAGAGAGGACCAGGACAGGGCGCTGCGACACTCGAAGCGATAAGATCTTGCCACCCGTGGAGGAACGTTCCATCATCGACACCCTGTCCGCAGGGCTCATGGGCACACGGTGCAGCGAGGATACCCCATACCCCCGACGTCGTGATTTTTTGACAACGTCGACCCCCAGAGGTCTGGACCCCTTCCCCGGGACCGGTTTTCTATCCCGAGTCGTTTTTTGACGCTCCCGAGGCCCGGTAAGGGCCCCCGGAGGCCGAAAATAGCGAAAAACCTCCCGTCGTGATTTTTTCACGACGCGAGGAGGTCTGGGACATGCTTGCCCAGAGGGCGGAAATCTTGGAGAGCCTTTCATCGATAGCCTTGGACCGGCCGGGGGGGAGACACGTGCCCCAGGCGCCCGGCTGGCCTCCCATGCTTTGGGGGGGCGTGGGCCCTTTGGAGGTCTGGACCACTTCCCCGGGGCCGCTTTTTCGTCCCGAGTCACTCCCATGGCCTCCTGGCGTCGTGAGGAAATCACGACGAGGTTTTCCCAATTTTCGGCCTCTGGGGGCCCTTCCCACGCCTCGGGGGCGTCAAAAAACGACTCGGGACGAAAAACGGGTCCCGGGGACAGGGTCGGGACCTCCGGGGACGGCGTCCTGAAAAAAATCAGGGCGTCGCATACGTCTGGGACCACCACTTCCCCGGGACCGGTTTTCGTCCTGAGTCACTCTCAGCCTGAGTCGTTTTCTCACGCTCCCAAGGCCCAGCGAGGGCCCCAGGAGGCCGAAAACTGTCAAAAGCCGCCTGCTCCAATTTGTTCTGGAGGCCCATCGCTCGTCGCCGAGTTATGAGCGCCAGTTCCCCAATAGGCGGGACCCGCAGCGGCGGGGGGACGTCCTCGGCGCGATCGGGGACAGAGCGGGCGGCAGCTGCGGGCAAAGAGCTCCGTGAAAACTTGGGCAGATGCTGGCGCGCCATCCTCACGACAGGCGGGCTGCGGCTGAGCAGCTACTACACGCAGCTAACTATACCCGGGGGAAGCAGCTGCGGCTCGCACTCTCTGGGCGCACCGCTCGGCAGGCCCCGAACTCCCCCAAACTGTGAATCTCCTGGCGGGGGAAAGACTTCTACTCTCGCCGGCTTCCGCCGGCCTTCCGCCGGCTTCCGCCTGTGGAGCCACCCTCGTGCTGCCTCCGCCAGCTTCCGCCAGATTCCGCCGAGGAAGATATGGCAACGTGCGGGGGAGGAGGAGGAGGAGGAGGAGGAGGAGGAGGAGGAGGAGGAGGAGGAGGAGGAGGAGGAGGGCATTCCCAGGAGATTCCGAAGCCTTCTCCGCGAACAGAGGCGGCCGGCGCGAGGGCGTCTGAGAAGCCCTGCAGTGTTCTGAGAGGGCGTGCTCCCTCTCACTCCTCCCCTCGGCACGCCGCCCATCGAAGGCGAGGCCGCCTCTGGAACGCCGCGCGCGGTCGCTCGCCCGGGCGGGTGCGCTCCGGTGCCCCCGGTGGCGTGGGCCGCGGCGGGGAGCGTCCACAGAGCAGCCATCCGAGCCAGCCCTGCCCGCCCAGCTTCGCCTCGCCGCACCGCGGGCTGGGCCAGCGCGGCCCACGGTGAGAAGCGCGGCTGGAGGGCCCGTCGACACGTCGTAGCCATCCGAGCCAGCCCTGCGCGCCCAGCCTCGTCCTGCCGCACTGCAGGCCGGGCCCGGGGCCCACGGTGCAGGTGGCGCGGCCGGGTGGGCTCGTCGGCCCCACCCTCGTGGCAGTGGCTCGGGCAGACCCCGCCACTGAACAGGCTGGCGGCGGCAGAAACGGTCCCGAGGGCCCCCTGGACGATATGCCGGCTGCAGCACTCGACCAGCGACGGCGTCGCGCACCGCTTCGACCTCGTCGAGACAAAGCGATTCCCCTCCACAGCGATGGTGCCACGATGCTCCCTTGAACAGCCGTGGGGGGGACAGCCTTGCTGCGACGAGACACCGGCTCGCGGCCCCAGCTTCGCTGTTCGCCCAGAGAGAACAAGCGCAGTAGCACTGCCCTAGGCCAGTAGCCATTGCTCTGGCCTCGCAGCGAGCAGGAGGAGAAGGAGGAGGAGAAGGAGGAGGAGGAGGAGGAGGAGGGAGGAGGAGGAGGAGGAGGACGAGGAGGAGGAGCAGTCCCTTCCAGGCGTGGTCGGAGACAGCCCCGCCACAGCGCTCGCCGACGACGTGTCTGCAGAGCCGTCGCAGACTTGGCCCCGCAAGGGCGGGGCATGGTGGCCACGGCGGCTGCACACATCGGGAAGCTGAGCACACACATGTTGAGCAAGTAGAAATCCCTGAGATCCTGGCGACAGACCTCCTCCGTTCGTCTGTCCTCTTTAACTTGCTATTCCCTGCCAGACTGCTGGTGGGCCCCTGGAGCGGTGCTCCAGGGGTCACCTGGGACTAGTTCGATCCCCCCCAGGGCCTCCCTGGGGTGGAGGGCTGCGTTCAACAAACACTCGAGCCGACAGGAACCAGGAATCAGCGTCTTGAGAGTGCGGCCACCGATGTTATGACAGAGAAAAGTGGAACTTGCACAACAAGTCGGCGTCCCCCCGCGCGCGCGAACACGAGTGCCGCTTCTCCCTCCTGAGGGGCTGACCCGAACCAGAAATCACCGCGGAGGAGGGGGAGAGGGGAGGAGAAGAACAACAAGCAGGGAGGGAGGGAGGGAGGGAGGGAGGAGGGAGGACAAGGGGGGAGGAGGAGGGAGGAGGAGAGAGGAGGAGGGAGGAGGGAGGAGGGTGTAGGGAGGAGGAAGAGGAGAAGGAGGAGGAGGACGAGCCAGCGAAAGAGAAGGGGGGGTAGAGTGAGACTTGAGGCAGGAGCCAGGGCGCCTCGGCGGTGGATCCAGAAGGGGAGAACAAGAGGAGGAGGAGGAGGAGGAATGCTAGGGGGCAGAATCCGCAAGGCGGAAGGGGATGAGGCAGGAAGATGCGAGGCCAGACTCACCGCAGGGGCCTCCAAGAAGAAGGAGGGAGGGAGGAGGGAGGAGGGAGGAGGGAGTAGGATGGAAGAGGGAGGAGGGAGGAAGAGGAAGAGGAGGGAGAGAGAAAGGAGGAGGAAGAGGATAAGGAAGAGGAGGAGGAGGAGGCGGACGGCGGACGAACCGAGGAAGGAGAAGCACCTGGGTGGAGGATCTCGAACAGCATCTTCTTCGCCAGCGCCACATTTGCACCTTCGCGCGTTGGCACCGCTTCGTGGAGTCGCGACCATGTCTCTGCACTGTGCTCCTCCTCCTTATCCTCCTCCTCCTCCTCCTCCTCATCCTCCTCCTCATCCTCTCCTCCTCATCCTCCTCCTCTCCTCCTCCCTCCTGACTAGTCCTACCTCTCCTCCTCTCCACTGCTCCTCCTCTCCTCCGTCCTCCTCTCCTCAACTCCTCGTCTCCTCTTCCCCTCCCTCCCCCCTCCCTCTTCTCCTCCACTACTCCTTATCCTCCTCCTCCTCTTCCTCCTCCTCTCCTCCTAGGGGTACTATGGTCACTGCAAAAGGTCTGCCACACCAAGCCCAACTGACCCATGGGCACGAGCCCCAGACTAACGTCCTGAAACCACCTCCAACAGTGAGCCACTTAGCCGTTGAGGGGAGTGGATTCGGCAAGGCACATTCGGAAGCTTGCCCGCAACAAGGTCTCGATTCTCATTGCGGCGCATGGGCCCACACGCAGACCTCGGCTTGATAGGCTTCTGGGCCCCGAACGCTGCGCACGGGGAGCACAAGACGACTGGGAACCCAGACTCAACTACAACAACACCTCCTCCTCCTCCTCCTCCTCCTCCTCCTCCTCCTCCGCCCCCTTTCCACCCCCCCCGTCCTCCTCCTCCTCCTCCTCCTCTTTTGACTGGGGGGCTCTTGGGGATGGGCCTCAGGGCCACACATCACCTTGGCCAAACAGGTCAATCCTGCTCTCGCACGGGCTTTCCCGTGTACGGATTCTTACCGTCCAGGATTCGATCACGATAGAGCTTCCGCCACCGATGGGCGGCAATACCCTTCGTCAAAGGGCCCTCGCATTCCCGCAACAACTTCTGGGCTCGGGAACGGGCGAAAGCCCCACAAATTCGGCACACAGCATAACCCACCTTCTCAACCACTTCGTGTTCCCGAGGTGGGGGCGGGGGTGAAACCTGGGACCGAGACCCCCTTGCCTCCGCAGCCCTCTCAGCCGCAGCTGCACGGATCTGGTCCGTCACACACTCGCCGTGGACCAGGGCCTTGACTTTCAAACGGGCCCTGCCTTTTGAAATGGCTCCCCCCATCCAGGGCACAACTCCCGCTTGGCCATGCTGAGACGAGCGGCCACGCGGACGAGGCGAGAGCACTCCAGACACTGCCACTTACCACCCTCTAGGAGCCTAAAACGGTGGGCCCGCTCAGGCGCGACTGCCAAAGGGCGGGCAATACGTTCGCTCCTCCGAGTCCGACCAGCAGGGGACGACAGGCTCGTGGTGGTAGCTTTGGCTTCACTAAGATCCACACGGAAAGATGCTGCATACTGTAGCAGCCTCTTCTGAAATTTAAGACACTGCTGGACCTGTTCCACCTTCCACTTTGGGGCGGCATAAGGGTCAGCTCCCTCTCTTGCACGAGCGTCCGCACACCTATTCATATCAAAATGCACAAGACTCTCACCCGAAAGACTGGCTCTTTGGGCCTTGGTCATGTGAGACTTTATCTTGACTACTTGAAGGGACTCCCCTGGGATGAGACACTGATCCTCCAGGGCATCCCAAACAAGCTTCCAAAGGTGCGCGGTCATCTGCTCGCTATTCACACAAAATTCGTTGCCTGCCAAGAGCCCCTGAACGACCTGCTTGCTATCTATCAGGAGCCCTACGAGCCCTACCGAGTGCTTTACAGCCTGGTACACAGCCCAGATCTCACAGTGGGCCGACGTGGGCCTCGCAACTGGCACAGCACCGAACAATGACTGAATCTCACTTTTCTTTTCAGCGCTCCAGGTGATGGCGGCGAAGCCTCCCGTGGAAACCTCCTCCACGCCGGGGGACAGGACGCATCCGTCCGTGGCCACCCAGCCCGACAGCACCATCTCGCCGTCAGGGTCGCCCCACTGGTACTCGTCGGGCGGCGTGGGCACCTGGAAGTCGGCCACGGGGTCCGCGATCAGGCCGCGAGCCAATTTCCAGAAGAGCGTGTCACCGCCTCTGCAGCCCTGCTCCTCCTTCGTGGCGGCCGTCTCGCCCAAATGCACCACGTCCCGAAAACTGTTCTTGAGAGTCGGCTCCGTGAGCCCATCACGAATCGTGACGCACACATCTGCATCACAAAGAAAATACACATGCAACAAAGTGCCCTTCTTCTTGCCGCACAAAGGGCACAGAGGACTCGTGACCTGGCCGCGCTCGTAGCACACCGTCTGTACAGGGTAACTTCCTAGCGCGACCGTCCTGGCACTGTTGATGTGGTGTCTCGTCCAGGTCTCCGTGGGCTTGGAGCGCATGAGCTGCTTGACTGGCAACAGGAAGGGAGTGGGTCGGAGCGGCTGGCGCTCCTCATCAGCGAGCGCCCAGTCCATGAGCTTCTTCTTTGCGACCGCCCTCTCTGCAGACCGCAGGATCTCGAGGGGGGCGACCTCGCGGATGTCCCACTTGCCGTGGACGCCGTCGAGGATGGTCCAGGCGTCCTCCATGTGCCATCCCAGCTCGTGCACCGTCAGAATGGTGGCAGCCGCTGGCCCCCGCACCATCTTCCAGGCGTCGAACTTGGCGGGGCCATAGGTGAGGGCACGCTGCACCTTGGGCCACTGACGGCCCCACGCGTGGGCCATCTCCTTCCGTCTCTCGGGCTGGTCCCAGGCCTCGCGTAGCCATGCCCGAAGAGGGGCGATCCTGAGCTGCCCGGCGCCGTCCGTCCTCGGCGCGATCGCCCAGCCCAACGTGCCCGAACGAAAGGTCCCAGCCCCCGCACGCACAGCAGCTGTCTCGGCCATGACGAACTTGAGGACGGCAGGAGGGGTGCCAGCGCAGGTCGCCCCATACGCAACTGACGCTTTGAGGCCTTGCTGCACCACAAGGCGTACCCTCACCCCTCGCCGCTTGAGGGCCGCCGCCTTGTGCCAGCGGCCTCGAGCAGTCTTGACCCGTCTGGCTCTGGTGGCCTTCTTCCGAGGGCCCTGGGGTTGGTAGTCCACGCCCAACCAGCGCTCGCTCTCGCCGTGCTGCAGGCCGATGTCCGCCGTGGGCTGTGCCAGCTCCTGTGCCAAGGAGCCGTCGCTGGAGACGAACTTCGACTTGCCTCCCTCACCCTTCGAGACCTTGAGCTGCAGCAGCGACTCCAAGAGGCGGATGAGGGTGCGGGCCAGGTCGGGGAAGATCACCCTCAGCTGTGCGCTCCTGCCCACCATCCGCAGGGCTAAGTCGTCCACAAACTTCGTGATCTCCAGCTTGGCCCCTGGCCATCGGGCCACGACGTCCAGGATCGGATGCAGCACAATCTTCAGTAAGCGATTGGCATACTTCGACCCAGCGGGCAACCCCACGCGGGTACAAATGGCGTCTGCGACGGCCTGGCCCTTTCGGACCGCCCGAGGGAAAGCGTACGACTCCAGAGAAAGGGCCAAGACACTCATGGGTGCTTGCTGCACCATGCCTAGAATCCAAATCAAATTGAGCGCTACATATTCATACGCCTTCTCCAAATCCATCAAGGCGGTGAGGGACGCGAAGCAGGTGCCTTCCAAGGCCTCGTCGTCCAACATCGCTCTCCAAACAGCATGCTCACTGCTGCGCCCTGGTGATGCCCAGTCGTAGGGCCTCACGTGAACCCGCTCCCACCGCCGAATCAAGGGATCACGAACAGCCTCCCAGATGCGCACTGGCGTGGGAAAAAGGGTGATGGGCCTGCCGCCGCCGTCTTCCTTGGCGACCAGGAAAAGTATGAGCATGCGTATGGCCGTGGGCCACGAGCAGAGCCGCTCGCACAGCATGAGGATGTCCCCGAGGCTGGTCAAAGCCTCGTCACTGAGCCAGGCCAGGTGCCCGAAGTGCCAGCCGTCAAGCCCGAGCCCAGTCTTCCATGTGTAACTGCGGCATATGGTGCGCACCTGCATCGCGTCGATGATGGGCAGCTCCTGCGCGTGGGCCATCCGTTGGGCCTGGACCTGAGTGTCCTGCCACAACTTGGTGTAGTCACCTGACCCAGCGCGCCAAATGCTAGCCCACTCCTGCGCCTCCTGATTGACCGCGAGCTGCGGGCCCGCTGGCAGCTTCAGCTTCTTGGCCGACGAGATGGGCTCCTTCCACGCCTGCTTCCAGTGGCAGATGCGGTGCAAGTAGCCCCCTGAGCCTGGGAACTTCGCGCTCAGGCGCTCGTAGAACCGCTTGGAGCGCTGCCGCATGAGGTGTTGCTCCCAGGTCTGGGCCCGCACCTTGGCGAACTGCTGCAGCGCGTAGATGGCCTGCGTGCCGATGAAGTGGGGCTCCACGTCGGCGAGGGTGCGCAGCGCTGGCAGTAACCCCGCGCTCCAGGGCTCCAGCTGGTCCCAGTGGTGCCTCGCCTGGAGCAGCTTCCTCCAGGCCCGTCTGAGCTGGCCTGTGACCTCCTCGTTGTAGGATCGAGGAGGCCCTTCTCCCGAGGTGGTAGCCTGGCCCGCCGGGGCCTCCGACTTGGCCTTGGGCACCGACTGGCCCCGCAAGACGCAGCAGACGAGTTGGCCTATCCAGGCCAGTTCCCCCGCGGCCCAACGCCAGGCCCTGGCAGGACCTCGATCAGCCACGGGGCTGTCATGCTTCGGAAGAAGCTGTCTCTGCACCACCTCGGGAGTCAAGCCTCGGCCTTCATACCTGCGTGCCTCCAACTCCGTCCAGCCGAACAGAGATCGAAGCTCGGCCTCAGCTGCAGAGCAAAACCCCCTCCAGCACTGGTCCAGGTGCTGCTGCGAACCGTGGAGCAGGTCGAGCTTGGGGTAGCCCTGCGGGATCTCGGGCTGCCTGACAGGTGGCGGCCTGGTGATGGGGTACTGCTTGGGGCCCTTGAGAATCTGGATCTGGCACGCGTGCCAGGGCTTGTCGGCGCGGATCCAAGTCGGCCTGCGCGGCCTGTAGGGCATGTTCTCGAAGGACTTCACTGGGCAAAAGATCACGGCCAGCCTCGCATCCACCCAGAAGAAGTCGATGACCCGATCCTTAATCTCCTCCACGCCCTGCTTTACCACCTTGGACCTGCATGTGCCTCCTCCCCCTTGCCAGGCCAGAACTTGGCCCTTGGCCTCCTGATTCCAGGGGCTGTCGAGGATGGCGTGCGGCTCATTGTTGAAGTCACCCATGGCCATCCAGGGGATCCTCATCTGGCAGACCCAATGCACGATGGTGTCCAGCAGGGCCGCGTTCAAGGCCCAGGTAGCGGGCTTGCCCGTGAACAAGTACACCGAGAAAAGGGCCACCCAGCCAATGCCCTTGACCTCGGTCATGCCCAAGCACAGCCTGCCTGCGGCGCCCGCGGGGGGGGGATGTCCCACGACGCCTGGCCTGGCGCCAGGCTGAGGCTCAGGCAGCGCGGTGTGATCAGCGCCACGCCCGCGGAGTAGCCGCCCTCTGCCGCGCGCGCGGCAGGCGCGCCCACGACTCGCCAGCCCCGTCGCTCTTGCGCCGCTGCAGTGACGCGGAACCACTCGGCGGGCTTCGCGTGCTCCTGCACCGCTATGACGGGGACGCCGCCGCTCTTGATGAGCTGGTCGATCTCCTCTTCCATGAACTCTTCGACGCGAGCCCAGGAGAGATTGGCATTGAAGGTGGCGGCGATGACGTGTCGGTCTCCTCGCCGAGTGCGTCGGCGCCTCTGAGGCTGCCCCGCTGGGTCATCCCCAACGCGCTGCGACCTGCCCTCGAGGTAGGTGGACTGACAGGTGTTGGGCACGACGGGCGGCGGCTGCCTGCCCATGGCCGCGGGCGCGCAGTAGCCGTCGCCCTGGCCAGAGTACGCGCCCCCGCCGCCCTCAGAGAAGCCAACCCCGTGCAGCTCCTCCTCGTAGAGGCCCTCGCTCGTCCAGAACTGGCCGCCCCCGTAGGTGGTCCAGTCGATCAAGGGCGGGCCCGCGGGCCCATCGAAGAGACGCCTGGGGGAGCGCCTCCTCGCCGTGGTGGTCGTAGAAGGAACCCAGCACCGCCCGCTTGGCGGCTCGCTCCTCCTCGGGCAGCCCGCTGAGGTACTGGTCCACCAGCTCGTCTCGCTTGCGCTTCTGCTCCTCCACTGCGTCGCCGCCGCCATCGGCCGAAGCCTCAGCAGCAGGCCCCCCTGGGGGCGCGGCAGCCGCCGCTGCGCCAGGCCCCCCAGGCGGCGCGGCGGCAGCAGCAGCGGGAGCCCCTGAGGCCTGAGGGAGCTCCTTGACCAGCTTGAGCAAGCTCTGGAGGGACTCCACGAGTGGTTTGGGCACCGAGTCGCCGTCGCCCTCGGTGCCCCCCACCAGCTTCTCCAGGTTGGCCACGAGCTGGCTGATGACCGCCTGCCCGCAATGGGGGCCACCGCCGAGAGGACCCGCTGCCCCCACTGGGGCCTGCTCCTCCGCCACGATTCGCCTGGCCAGTTGAGCCTTCTCCTCCTGCAGCTGCTCCAGCTCCTTGCTGGCCGCCTCCTGCATCCGCTGAGCCTCCGCCAGGCGCTGCTGCAGCTCGGGCACGACCTCATCGCGCTGGCGTGCGAGCTTGCGCTGCGCGGCGGCCATCTTGCCCTCCAGTGCCTGCAGCTGCAGGTGCAGAGGCTTGCCTGCCCGCTTCTGGGCGACAAGGGTCGCCCTCTCCGCCCGCTTGGCCTCGATGATGGAGCCGAGACTGGGGTCGGCGAGGGACTCAAGCATGCCGATCGACTTGTCGAGCACCGCGATGGGGTCGGGCTGCTCGGCTGCCTTGGACTTGAGCAGGTCAGTGCCAGCCCCGAAGTAGCCCCAAGCAGCGCCAGCAGTGCCGCGAGGAGCGGGGCCAGCCACGCCCTTGTCCTTGCCCTTGTCTCCCTTCTCCTTGCCCTTGCCTTCGGCCTTGCCCCCAGCTGGGGGGTTGGCCCTCTGCCACGGCCGCCGCACCGGTGAAGAGCGGGACGCACGCGTGATGGCCGCCTGGATGTGCTTCGGCGCGGGGGCGAAGCACTGGCGGCACTGCATCTTGGTCGCGAAGTTGCCTCCTGTGCCACAGTGTCCACACGTCCAGGGCTCGGCCCCCTGGAGCGAAGAAGAAAAACTGAAGCGACGCATCCTTCCACGGTGCCATCAAACACGCTGTGGCTGGCAAAGAGGACGAGCTGGGCAGTTGAGTACCGAATGTACCCTGACTGGTGATGTCAGGGGAAAGCTGCTGGGGCCGTGCGCGCCTCTCGGGCGCCCCCCAATGCCAGAAAGTCTCCGTCCGCTGCTGACGCCTGGGCCACGCTACGGACTTGAGCCAAAATGGCTACGGCCTCCTCCTCCTCCTCCTCCTCCTCCTCCTCCTCCTCCTCCTCCTCCTCCTCCTCCTCCTCAGGGAGTGCCCAGAGTAACCAGGTTCTGCACGAATCTCTCGGATGGATGGGCTGGGAGCTAAGCGTGGGGTCCTGGTGAGCGCCGGAACTGTGCGGAGGCAGCACCTGCACCTCCTGTGATCGATGTGCAGGGAACCGATGTGTGAGGAGGTGGCGGGTCTACCAACACGGGGTTTCACCAATCCCGTGTCTAGCTCACCAAACAGTTCTGCTGGCGAGGGCTACAGGGCAAGGAACTTGCCCATCCCCCCCCCAACAAAAAACGGTTTTTGACTTGCGCGCGCGAGGGAAGTACGAGATCGGGAATGCTGGGGTTGAAATCGTGCACCCTAGCTCCCTGCCCCGCAAGCCAAGCCTGCTGCTGCATTAGTACGGATGTTTTTCTGTTTTACGGGAAGAACACAGGCCGATCTCATTCAAAATATGGCGATCGCCTTAGCGCCACGCAAGTTCGTCTTAAACACTTGTTATGGCTTCACGGATGGAGGAGCCGTTTTCAAAATCTGCCTCTCGCCCTAGGGCCGCGCATGTTCATCCTTAACGGTCGCAGCACGGTCATGGATGGAAGGGGTGTTGTTTGTCGCCCTCGCCTTAGCAACGCGCACTTGGCCTAAACAAATTGAACTCTTTCACGGATGGTGGGGGATTGTTGTTTAATGTGGCTCTCTCCGTAGCGCCGAGCATCTTCACCGTAAACGTTCGCAACGTGTTCATGAATGGAGGGGGGTCGTTTTGAAAACGACGCTCTCGCTTCAAAGCCGCACGCAGTATGTTGAGAAGTGTGCGCCAGATTCACATATGGAGCGCGGCTAACTTTTTAATGAAGCGTTTGCCTTTGCGTTGCGCGCATTCGTCACTTTCACATCGCAATTAGCGGATAGAGGCTAAACGTACACATACATATAAACATATACGTCCACTTATACACAATCATGTACATACGTACGTAGAAACGTATGTATGTATGTATGTACGCATGTGTAACTATATATATAGAGAGAGAGAGAGAGAGAGAGAGAAAGAGCGTGTTCTACAGCTGCTGGCGGAAAACCGGGGGGGGGGCACTACCGGTTCGACCCCCCCCTTCCGGAAAACCGGGGGGGGTCACTACTGGTTCGAACCCCTCCCCCCACCCCCCCCCCAGTCCATCATGAAGCGGACAGTGGTGGGGACGGCGGTGGTGGGGACAGTGGTGAAGGGACGGCGGGACAGTGGTGGGGACAGTGGGACAGTGGTGGGGACGGTAGTGGTGGGGACAGTGGTGAGGACAATGATGGGAACAGTGGGGGCAGTGGGACAGTGGTGGGGACGGTGGTGGGGACAGTGATGTGGGGACAGTGGGAACGTGGTGGAAACAGTGGGACAGTGGAGGGTACAGTGGTGGTGGGGACAATGGCGAAGGCGGTGGCGAGGACGGCGGTGGGGCAATGGGACAGAGGTACAGTGGGGACAGTGGCGGGGACAGTGGGGACAGTAGTGGGAACAGTGGGACAGCTCAGTGGGACAGCGGAGGAATCAGTGGGACCCTAAAGTGGCCCAAGACGGCCCAAGAGGCCTCCAAGAGGGCCTCCAGGAAGGCCCCAAAAGGCCAAAAACATTGACTTCCCCAGTTGTTTTAAGGATTTTGGCATTTGCTTCTTCTCGGCCTTCCGACAGCCCGAGACGGCCCAAGAGCCCCCAAAGATCGCCCAAGAGGTCTCCAGAATCACCACGAGGCCCCAAGGCGGCCCAAGAGGCCTCCGAGACGCTCAAGATGGCCGCCAAGACGGCCTTGGAGCACCGCAAGAAAGGCCCAAGTCGGCCCAGCCTCGCCCACCGTGTTCCCCGAACGCTTTCCAAACCGATTCGGGGAACACATGGTCCGATAGCTTGGCAGGCCTCTGGCCACAACGTTCAGCCACATAGGCGTTTCCAAAAAAGCAGGGAGCGGCGGTGATTCGCCGTAGGCGTCTTCGACACACACACACACACTATATATATATAGAGAGAGAGAGAGAGAGAGAGAGAGACCTATACGACCACCCTGCGGGTGATAAGGAAGTGGGGGGGGGGCCAGCAATGGGCAACAGACGATCAGGATGGAGCTCCACCAAGCCCGACAAGGAAGTGTCCTTGTACCCGTATCGGTATGCGAGTCTGCGCGAACCCGGGTATTCTGCCTGTGTCCCTTGCGATGGCAAAGCCTGGCTCTGGGACACAGGCAGGGCATGTCTGAACATGCGTGCGGCGCCGGACATGGAGGCGGCACCGGCCGAAGGTCCGGGCGGAGTGTCCGAAGGCAGAACCGCGATGGGATGCGGTCCGACGGCGACGACGACCACGACGCCGATGGTCATGGCTGATCATGGCCCCCAAGACCCACGAAGGATGGAGAAGCTGATATGTGGAGGAGGAAGAGGAAAAAGGAGAGGTCCAGAACCGAGGGGTGCGTGGTGGAGGAGAACCTGAGAGAAGACCTCATTCGCTGTCTCATTCGGTCTCACTACCGATCTCACAATCGATATCACTATCGACGTCGTCATCATCTTCATCGACATCACCATTAACATCATCATCATCATCATCGTCATCATGATCAGCAACATCATCATCATCAACGTCGTCATCATCATCACAATCATCATCACCATCATGGCCATCATTACCATCAGCATCGCACAATCGATGTCACATTCGGTCGCACTATCGATATTACAATCGATCTCATAATCGACGTCATCATCATCAGCACCAACGACACCAACATCATCATCATCACCATCATCATCATCATCATCATCATAATCATCATCATCATCATCATCATCATCATCATCATCATCATCATCATCATCATCATCATCATCATCATAACCATGATCATCATCACCATCATCATAACTAATCATCATCTCATAATCATCCGCGGATATCATCTGGGGACAGACGGGGCACCGAAGGACACCAGCGGGACACCGGCGGGACACACGCGCGGCCCGGCCGGTCAAGGTTCTTTTTTGCACCGGCCGCGCCTCCGCCACACGGGACACCCAGCGGGACCCGGCGGGACACCGCGGAGGCACCGGGCAACCGCCCGGTCAAGGTCTTTTGCTCTCGGCCGCGCCTCAGCCACAGGAGACTTTCTCTCGCCCGCCCACGCAGCTTCGCCTCGCCCGCACGGCACGCACGAACACGAAACCGAAATCGATTTCCTGGTAGGGGGGCTCTCCGTTCCACTTCGATCTCACCCCCCAACCTCCGATCTATAGATATATATGTATATATATATATATGTATATATACACATATACATTTATGTGTATGTATATATATATATACATATACATATCAAATGTGCGTGTGTATATGTATACAAACATATATGCACCTACATATACATATATATATACACATGCGTAACTGTGCAAAAACATACATATATATAATAATAAACGTGTGTATAGATGTAGGCGCTGATGCACGTGTACATTTCATATACAAAATATATGTGTCTGTGTCTGTACATGTGTATGTGCAGATGTGTGTTTCTATATGCACATCTACATGACTATGTATATGTTTATGTGCGTGTAAGTGTAAGTGCATATGGGCATGCGTATGTATGTATATGTGCACTTACATACGCATATGTATATGTGCGTGTTCATGTATATGTATACGTATATGTGTATATGTATGCATAAGGTGAATGAGAATGCGTATATGTGTATGTGTTCGTGTGCGTACTGTATATGTGAATGTATATGTGTCAGTGGGCGTGTGCGTGTGTGCGCGCGTGTTTACGTGTGTCGGTGTGCGATTGCGCGTGCGTTCGTATATGTAGATGTATATGTTTACGTGTGTGTGTACATATGTATGTATAGCTATGTGTATGTGAATATGTGTAAATACGTACGTTTGTATTCACATGTAGCTGTCCATGTGCATGTACATGCACATGTGGATGTATAGCTCTGTGTATATGCATGTGCAAATTCGTAGGTATCTGTATGTGTACAAGTATACGTACATGTGCATGCATATTTGTATGTGTTTGTAAATGTGCATACGTATGTACGTATATGTGCAAATGTACGTGAGCATGTACATGTGCATGTGTGTATATATATGTATGTAGTGGGTGTGTACATGCACATGGACATGCACATCTAGATGTATATGTATATGCCTACGTCCACGTATGAGTATATGAATGTATGAATGGGTATGTGTATGTATGTATGTGTAAACGTTTATAGTATGTGTATGTGTAAATGTATATGTATGTAATTGTGTGTGCATACGTGTATGTGTTTATGGTTTAAAACATACGTGTGTGAATGTATGTACACGTGTATGAGTACATGGGTGTGTATACATGTGTTCATGTGCATGTAAATGCCGATGTATGTGGCAATGCACATGTGTATGCGCATGTAAATGTATGCGCATATGGTTACGTCCACGTATATGCATCTGTAGGTGTAAAGTTGTATGTGCATGCGTACATGTGGAATAGCATGTACATTTCATCTATGTATACACATGTATGTATGTAGGTGCTTATGTATACGTATGTATGTGTATACACACCTATATATACATATACATATATATATATATGTGGTCAGCCCCCCCCCCAGCACCCCTCTGGCCCTATTGCTGTGTTTTCTGTCTCTCTCTCTCTC